AGTCCATTCCAGATGCGAATAAGGGAGGGGAAGCACAGCTGCTGCCGCACACCCAAGGGAAGTGGGGTACCTTTACCTTACCATACCAGGGGTAAAAGCTTTGTACCTACCAAGCGGGTTACCTGAAGTGTGAACCTTACCCAAAAAAAGAAGAGGGAGGGACTCGGGTGTGCTACAGACAGCAAAGCAAGAGCGACGAGTGAGCAAAACAGGAAGCAAGCAAAACAACAAGCGGCAAAACGGCCGAAGGCGAAAACAGGGTGGGTGGTAAAACGATACTCATCTTTTTCTTAGTTGCTGGAGAGTCCAAGAAGACCCAATGCAGCTGCTGCTCCTTCTGGTGCTGCTGCTCCCTCTGCTGCTCCCTCCGCCCCCCACGTCGCTTGACGCCAGCAGGCCACTAAGAGTCAGGAAGGGAAGGGCGAAAGGGAGGGGGAGTTGGGAGATTAGAACCAACAGCAAGGAAAGGGAACCAGTCTAATCCAAAGCAGTCAATTCCAGATGCAAAGACGGGAGGGGAAGCACAGCTGCTGTCGCACACCCAAGGGGACTGGGGTACCTTTACCTTACCATACCAGGGGTAAAAGCTTTGTACCTACCAAGGGGGTTACCTGAAGTCTGAACCCTAAAAAAAGGGGCGGGACTTGGGTGCGCTACAGGCGGCTAGCATGACGAGGCAGTGAAACGGGAAGCAAGCAAAACGACAAGTGGCAAAACGGTTGAAGGCGAAAGAAGGGTGGGTGTTGAAACAACACTTATCTTATTCTTGGCAGCTGGATGGTGAAGCCCATCAGGACCATCTGCTGCTGCTCCCTCTGCTGGTGCTTCCTCTGATGCCTCTGCTGCTCCCTCCGCGCCCCATGTCGCTTGACGTCAGCAGGACACTGAGAGTCAGGGAGAAAAGGGCGGAAGGGAAGCGGAAGAAGGGGGGGGGGGGGAGGGGGGGGAGGGGGGGGTGATTAGAACCAACAGCAAGTAAAGGGAGTCAATCGAATCTTAAGCAGTGTCTTCCATATGAGAATGCAGGAGGGGAAGAACAGCTGTTGTCGCACACCCAAGGGGAGTCGAATACCTTCACCTTACCATACCAGAGGTAAAAGTTATGTACCTACCAACCAAGGGGGTTACCTGAAGCCTGAACCTTCAAAAAAGGGGGAGGGACTTGGGTGTGCTACAGGCAGCAATGCAAGAGCGACGAGAGAGCAATACAGGCAGCAAGCGAAAAGACAAGCGGCAAAACGGTGAAGGGCGAAGGCAGGGTGAGAGGTGAAACGATACTCATCTCCTTTTTCACTTGACGGTTGCTGGAGAGCCCATGGCGAACCGCTGCTGCCTCCGCTGCTGCCCTCGCCTTGCCTGCTGCCTCCTCGCCCCACGTCCCTTGAGAAGTGTTCGCCAGGCAAAGCGATGGTCCTTGCCATCCGCAGGCACTGTGAGTCAGGGAGGGGAGGGCAGGCGAGGGAGGGGCGGGAGGGCGTTAGCATGACGAGCAAGGCGGAGGAGTGCAGCGGAGTGAGTCACATGCAGTCCAGCCCGCGGGAGACGAGTGCGCGTGAGCAGATGCGAACGGAAGCGGGGAGGCATAGCTGCTGTAGCGCACCCAAGGGGAGTGAAGGAGTGAAGGACCTTTACCTTACCGTACCAAGGGAGAAAAAAATCGTACCAGGGGGTTACTTACCTGATCAGCTGAACATTAAAAGGAAAGGGGGAAGGGACTTGGGAGTGCTACAGGCAGCTAGAGAGAGGAGGCAGCGAAGCAGGGAGCATGCGAAGTGACACGCATGGCGCTGCGATGGGCGGAACAGCGGCGAAGGACTGAAGCACGACGAGTGGTGAATTGACTAAGTGACGAAAGGAGGTTTCTTTCTGCGCGGTTGTAGCGAAAGCACGCCCTGAAACTCGTGGGGGAGTGCTGGGTGGGGCTGGAAATGGCGATTCAGATGAACACATAATCCGTTATGGTAAAATTCGAGAACAAGTTGGGGGGGGCGTAGTTGGACAGTGCGTGAATCACAAACAAGAACACAGATTGCACCCCGCACTCCACAGTGTGACTGGTGGATGCGTGGTCCGTGGGTCGGAAAGGCACTACTGTCTCGTCCGCATCGCCTCCATCGCCACACCTCGCCCCGCCCTGCCATCGCCCTGCATGGCCATGCGTCAGACCCCCTTTCTTCCCGCCGTCGCGCAATCGCCATCTCCGTCGCTCAGCAGTCGTCGATCGTCCGGGCGACAAACTTTCGCGTCGTTCCCAGTCGATAAGGCCACCGCCGCGCGCCTCACGCAGTCCCTGGGCTGCGCTCGCCCGGCGCTTGTCCTCCTGCTCGCCGCGGTAATCGGCGCGCTGCTTCTGCTCGTCCGCGGCCCCCACAGGGGCGGGTTCCTCTTTGCGCCGCAATCAAGCGCCGCGGATGACGCCCCGCACCAGGCGCTGCTCGCCGCAGCGTTGGCGGAGCTGAGGCGGGCGCGCGAAGAGGGGCGGGCGGAAGAGGTGGTGGCGGCGCAGGAGGCGGTGTTGGCGCGGCAGCAGGTGCTGCTGCGGCGGTACTGGCGGCAGCTGGCGCGACTTACGGGACAGCGCGGCGGGGAGGTGGCGCAGCAAACAGGCGGAGGGGCCCCAGGCGTGGGGATTGGAGAACAGGGGAAGGCGGAGGTGGGGGGAGGGGAGTTCGTGGGGACGCGGCATGAGGGTTGCGGCAGCGGGGAGTCAGTGCCGCGCGAGCAGGTGGTGGCGGAGGCGGAGAAGCTGGAGTGGCGGCCGCAGGCGGACTCGTACCTGCTAGCGGCGTGTGTGTACGGGCGGATGTCGAACCGCCTGCTGTGCGTGCGCAACTACATCCTGGCCGCCACGCTGCTGCGCCGCACGCTCATCGTGCCCGCGGAGGACCTCTACCGCCCCGCGCGCCGCTGGAACTCGCCCCTCGACGCGCCGCTCAGCCTAGATGTCGTCTTCAACGCGTCGCACCTCAACGCCTGCCTCGGCCGCCGCGTCGCCGTCACGCTGCGCGAATACCTGCGCGCCGCCAACGCCACGCGCCTCGACGTCGACCGCTTCGTCTGCCGGGCGGACCGCTGCGCCTTCCAGCGCGGCCGCCCGTCCCACCCCGCCATCCGCTTCACGTCGCGGCGCCAGGCGGGGCTGGAGGCGAACGTGACGCGCCGCACCTTCACGGACGCGTACGGCGGCGCGGGCGGGCGCGTGCTGTGCGTGGGCGATCTGTACGAGTCGCACGCGCGCTTCCTCGACCCGCCGCCCGGCTTCACCTCCAGCCTCGCCACCGCCTGGGCCATGCCCTCCCTTGCACACCCCCCTGCCGTCGCGGGCGCGCGCGATGCAGTCGGGGGGCTGGCAGGCGGAGGGGGGTCGCAGTTAGGGGCGGCAGGGATTGGCATGGAGCAGCGGTGCCGGTCGCTGGTGTGGCCGTGTGACGCGGTGGTGCAGGCAGCAGAGGGGTTCGTGCGCGAGGTGATTGGAGAGGCGTTTGCAGCGCTGCACCTGAGGCGGGACGACATGTTCCTGCACTGCGTGGGGCAGGGCAAGTGCCCGTACTGGGCGCAGCGCCAGGCGGGCGAGTGCGTGCGGGAGAAGCTGCTGGGGGGGGCGTTTGACGCCGCCAGTGCCCGGCATGCACGGCAGGGGGGAGGGGCGGCGTGGGCAGGGCGAGGGGCCATGGGCGCATTTCCCGGGCGGCCATTGCTGTTCCTGGCGTCAGACACTTCAGACTCGGACCTTGCTGTGTTCCTCTCCGCCCTGCAAGGCACCCCCCTGCTGCCACACGCCAACACCACCGCTGCATCTCCCTCTGGCAGCAGCCTGAACCCACCCACACCAGCCTCGCTAGCTGGCCTGGATTCACCCGAGGCAGTGGTGGTGGTTCGGCTGCCGAGCCTGGAGGGCAAGATGTGGGCGGAGAGGCTGAACCGGGAGGGGCTGGCAGGGGACGCGGTGGCGGTGGCGGCGGTGGAGAAGGTGGTGTGCGCCCTGAGCCGCCTCTTCCTCACCACACCGGGCTCCACCTTCTCCCACCACATCATGCACCTCCGTACCGCCCTCCACACCGCCTCCTGCCATGATGGGGGCTTCTGCCGCGGCCTTGCAGACCCCGAGCCCGTCTGACCTGACTCACCCCACATGGGCTCACTGACACGTGGGATCAACCCCTGGTGGCCTCACTTTGCTGCTGTGTGGACCTGGAGCAGTATTTGGCGATGTGGCTTACCGGCTGCTAGGCGCCCTCTGTAATTATTCATTGTGCTAATAAGATGTAATATGTACAGGGCTTTAAGGATTGTGAAGGTCCATATGCTTGTAAACGATGAGTACCATGCTCTCCACATGAGAGTTCCTGGCACTGCCTGCTACGACAGGCAGATGCTTGCTTGCACCCCTCCATCATGTGACATCACCGCCTCTATGCATAATCGCTCCCGATCCACGCCGCAGCCACCAAAACGCCTCACAGTACCTTCTTCACATCTCCTATTCCCTACTCACTCCCACCCTCACCCCTGCCTCTGTCTCCACGCTGCCCCCCTGCGAGCCCAGCAGCAGCGGGGGCAGCAGCAGCACGAGCAGGAGGGGCAGGTACGCAGCGATGAAGGGGGGCAGGACGGCGGAGCGGGCGGCAGCAGCGAGGGCAGCGGAGAGCAGGTGAAAGGCGGCAGCAAGAGGCAGCCCCAGCTGGAAGGGCGCCCCTCTGCTGCCCGCGCGCTGGCCCCCCATCCCAATGAACCGCTTGCTGGCAGGGGCCGCTGTCACCAGCACTGCCACCGCCCCCAGCTGTGGGGGAGAGAAGCGTGGGGTGGGAAAGAGGGGTGGGGATGAGATGGAGGAGTGGCGTGAGCGAGAGATGGAGAGGAATGGACCACGGACTACTATGATGCATGCAGGCTTGCACCATGCACGGCTCACCACCACACATGCATGCCCCTCCCACCATGCATTCCTCACCACAGCATACGCCACACAGGAGGCACAGCTGGCATCGCGCAGCACCAAGTCACTCTCCGCCTCCGCCACCCTCCTCCTCTGCTCCGCCACCCGCCTCCTCTGCTCCCCCACCCGCCTGCGCTGCTCCCTCACCGCCCGCTCGTCCCTTCCCCACCACCTTGGCCCCTTGCGGGGTGCCTGGCGCTGCACCCATGCGAGCTGCGCGCGCAGGTGCCTGGTGCGCGCTGTGAGGAGGCTGCGGGGGAGACAGGCGGGCGGCAGGGCGGCGTGGGCGGCGAGGGGCGAGGAGGAGGGCAGCGCAGAGGCGAGTGGCACGTCTAGTGACTCCAGCTGGGGGGGGAAGGATGGGAGGGGTGGTAGGCGGACGGGGTAGGGACAGGAAGTCAGTGGTGTATGATGTGAAGCAGGAAACGTACAGCCGAGAGCAGCAGCATGTGGAAGTATTCAGCACTTGGCTTTCTGGAAAGAGAGCAACACAGCAGGCAAGAAAGTTTGACACATGGGTGTGAGGAGTGGCACACAGGTGAGATAGGTATGGATGGTGATGGCATGAGAGCACACATGGGGTCAGGAGTGAGTGATAGTGAGAGGCAGAGAAAAGAGCACCTGCAGCAGAGAGAAGGAGGCCGGTGCTGCAGTGGGGCCATGAGAGGCTGGTGTGGTGGAGAGCGGTTTAGCAGGTGGCTGCGGCGATGGTGGTGCCATGGAGTGGGAGGTGGAAGGCAGGCAGTCAGGCGAGGCGAGCGGCAGCAGGCAGCAGTTGAGGAGGCGCCACGTGCGCGAGTGTGGCTGCCACTCACACCGCTCCGCTGCCACCACCTGCTGGCACCGCACGGCAGAGAGGGCAGGCGCTGACACATAGCCGGACTTGTGGTCCACTCATCTCCATGCCAACTCGTGTGTGACACTTCATTTTCCAGTCATGTTAGGGTCGAAAGAATTGGAGACAGGGAGGCGGAGAGACAGAGAGACAAGCCGGGGAAGAGGGAAGGAGGACTCACGGCCTGCACGTGCCCCTGAGGGGCGAGGTGCAGCAGCATGACACGCCGCATGGCACCGCCCCCCACCTCCCCCGCATACCACACCCGCCACAGCCCCGCCCCCCCTCCCCCTCCCTCGCCCCCCTTGCCTGCTGCCGCCGCTGCCCCCCCTGCACTGCCAGCGAGAGGAGAGGCGATGGTGGTGTGTGGTGAGGGGGGGTGAAGATGGGCGAGGAGGAGTGCGAGGGGGTCATGGTGGTGCTGCGCCTGGTGGGGGGAGAGTGGAGGGGAGAGTGAGCAGGCGATGAGTGAGTGAGAGGGGCAGCAGGGTGGGAGTGAGGTGTGAGGGTGCACTCGGTCACTGCTAGTACCACCTTACATGGCATGCATGGCACTGCATTACACCACATGACACTGCATGGCATGGCACCACATGGTAGCACATACATGCACATGCGCACCATGCTCCCCCCCCCCCCCATCACATACATGCGCACCATGCTCCCCCCCCCCATCACATACATGCGCACCATATTCGCGCAGCAAGACATGCTGCTGGGATGGCAGCGATGCCATGTCCGATGTCACTGCCGCCTCCACCATGCGCTGCGCCCTGCCATGCCATTCCATGCATAACAAATAGCAAGTCCATGATTGAATGTCCTTGAATAGGGACAGAATGCAGCAGTGCACACATAGCATCACATGGCAACGCATGGCATGGCGTGCTATGGCAGAGTGGAGTCACCTGCTCATGGCATGCGAGCATGAGCACGCCTGCCCCCACGCCCACACACACTGGCGCGCGCAGCAGCCTGCCCCACGCCACTCCCCCCGCCGCCATGCCCGCCAGCTCGCTCTGCGCCTGGGGGCACTCGGGGGGCATCGGGGGGCAGTCCGGGGGAATTTGGAGGGCAGACAGGAAGAGGGGCAGAGAGGGCGACAAGGTGGGTTGCAGTTGAGGGACTCAGCCCCGCGCCACCTGCGAGCGACGCTGCAGGGCGAGGGGTAGGGATGCGGATGCAAGGGGTAGGCGCGTATGTGGGCGCAAGTGGGGGAGGGAATTGTGTGGGCGCAAAGGGGCGGGGGGCGCACCAGGAAGTGGGAGAAGGCGAAGAGGGAGGCGGCGAGGCAGGCGGGGGGGAGCGCGAGCGCGAGGAAGCGCGGGAGGTGGTGCAGCGCGACCAGCAGCGCCAGGCGGAGCGGCGCGCCCGTGTTGGCCGCCACGCGCGCCACCTCCGCCAGCGACCCCAGCGCCACGCCCACGCTCGCCGCCACGCCCGCCGCCACCGCGAAGGGGCGCGCCATGCTGCGCGCGAGGTACCCGTCCAGCACGCCCCACCGCCACCGCCGCCCCCGCATGGCCCACTTCCGCGCCAGTTGCGCCCACAGCTTCCGCCATTCGCGCGGGCCTTGCGGTGTCGAGGGCGGAGCGGCGGTGGAAGGGACGGAATCAGCGGGAAGAGCAGCGGGCGGGCGAGGGAATGCGCGGGACGCGCGTGGCGCGAGCAGACGAATTGGGAAGGGCGGACGACGAGGGGTAGGACAGGAGAAGGGGGGGCTAATGCGGAGGGCGGGTGTAAGGGCGGGGTTAGAGGGGCGTGTGGGAGGAGAAGGCGAGCGACGGACAGGCGAGGCGAGGCGGATGGCGATGGCGATGGCGGAAGGCGAAAGAGACTCCGCCATACTATCAAAGATGGCGCGGAGATTAAAGCGAGGGGCACTGTGAACGTTGATATCAGCACTATAGTGCATTACGGTTACGAGGACAAGTTGTGTATAGGAACCACAAGTTCTCTTATCATCTCTTATATAATGCATAAGTACATGCGAAACCCAAGGAAATGATAAGCCGTTCAGGTGCTGCATCCCATGATTCTGAAAGGCGATCACGAGGGCAGGGAGCGCTTGGTCCTCTTCCTAACCACACTCTCCACGAGCTGCCTCACCTCCTCCTGCTGCTCGCCACTGCGACACGCCGCCAGCATCACTCGCACCGCCCTCGCATCCCAACGCACCCCCGCTGCCACCATCTTCCTAAACACACTCATGCACTTTCTCAGAAGCTTCTTCTCCGCGTACCCGCCCATGAGTGTGGTCCACGTGGCAGCATCAGGGGGCACGCCGCCCGCCCGCATGTCATCCATGAGCCTCTCAGCGCCCGCCATGTCAGCAGCACGCACGAGCACGGCGAGCACGGTGTTGTACGAGCTCACATGCCATGCCGCCCCCTCCACCCCGTGCATGCGCTCCAGCACTCGCTGCATGGCTGCCCTGTCCCCCGCGTGCCCATGCGCCCCCGCCAGGCAGTTGAGCATTGTCCTGTCCACCCGCCCCCATGCCCTCCCTCCACCACCCCTCCCACTCCCTCTCCCACGTCTCCTCTCTTCCCCCGCATCGTCCCTCCCCTCCCCCTCCTGCGTGCGCCCCCTCTCCCCTTCCCCCCACCCGCGCAGCAGCGCCAGGTGTGCCTGCACTTTCTCCGGCAGCCCTGCGCGCTCGTACGCGCGCAGCAGCTCGTGCTGCCACCGCACCGGGGGGGGTGTGCCTGCCGCTGCTAGCGATGCATACACCTCCTCCGCCTCTGATGGGGGAAGGGGAAGGGAGGGGGGGGGTGGGTGGAACGAGGCACGGTGTGGGTGGTGAGAAGGAAGGCAGATGTGGGGCTGAAAGGAGGACGAGTGCAGCCATTTCATGCGTTACATGACATTCATTCTCTGCTCCTTCATACGCATGCATAGTGCACTCTCTGCTGCTGCATGCCCAGTACCACACTGCTTCCCTTTACAGTTTCCCCACTCCACTCCCCACCCCACCAGTTTCCTTCCTCACCTCCCTTCGTCGCCCTCCCCTCTCCTCATCCCCCCTCCCCCCTCTCACCTGTCCACAGTCCCTGCCGTGCCAGGGCGGCCAGCAGCGGGGTGACACAGGAGGGCGGAGGGGCGGCACCAATGGTGCGCTGCATCGCCTCCAGCACTCCCCGCGCCCGCTCCACCTCGCCCGCCGTGCTGGGGGGTTGGCGTTGGGGGAGGGGGGGAAGGGGGGAGGGGAGGGAAGGGAGAGGTTGAAGGGCACGGGCGGAGGAATGGGGTGAGGGGAAGAGGCTGTTGTGGGCCGCGTGGAGAGGGCGAGGGGCGTGAGGGAGTGTCTCGTGCACACATGTCAACCCTCACACATGTCCACCCTCACACATGTCAACCCTCACACATGTCCACCCTCACACATGTCCACCCTCACACATGTCAACCCTCACACATGTCCACCCTCACACATGTCCACCCTCACACCTTCTCTGTGCCGCAGGTCGCCACGCCCTCCGCCCAGCAGCCCAGCAGCCCAGCAGCCCAGCAGCCTAGCAGCCCAGCAGACTGGCAGTCACAGGGTCGCGCCACAGCATGAGGCTGAGCGTCCTCACGCTGCCGTGTGTCTCACTCACGAGAGGGCGTGCAGGAGAGCAGTGGTGGCATGCAGGTCAGGGCGCAGCCCCATGAGGGCGATGCTGTCGTACGCGCGCTGTGCCTCCCGCCACTGCCCCACGCGTGCATGCGCCGCTATCAGCGCCGTGAAGCACGGCACCGTGGGCAGCACGGCCGCCCCGTGCAGCCCTGCAAACACCTCCTCTGCGTGCTGGGGCAGGCCCGCCTGGGAGGGAGGAGCGTCGAGACAAGGAGAAAGAGCAAGAGAGTGAGTGGGTGTGATTGGGTGGGCGGCAACGAAAGCGAGGGGCCGAGCAGCAGGGAAAGAGCGTGTCACAGGCATGACTAGCTGCATGCCATGCTACATGCGGTGCTCGCATCACCTTGCCATAGGCGTGCATGAGCAGCGCGTAGGAGGCGGCGGTGGGGCGCACGCCCTCCCCCCGCATGGCGCGCATGAGCCCCTCCGCGCCCTCCACGTCCCCCGCCCTCCCCCTCACCTCCACCATCGTGTTGTACGTCACCAGACCTGGGGACGGGGGCAGGGCGCAGGGGGCAGGGGACAGAAGAGGGCAGAGGGCAGGACAGGCGATGAGGAGAGCATTGATGATGGAAACAGAAGGGGGTTGAGGAGGGAGGGAGGGAGGGAGGGAGGGGAGGTGGCACGGCTGATTGAGCATTGCTGTGCTGCCCGCCACTGGCCTGGCTGCTCCCGCTTCCCGTCAAACACGAGAACTACATTTCGCCGCCCACCCACTCATTGTGGCGATGGCAGCACTCACTGGGGCGGCAGCACTCACTGGGGCGGCAGCACTCACTGGGGCGGTAGCCGCGGCGAAGCATCTCCTGGAAGAGCTCTTCAGCGGGCGGCAGCAGGCCCTGACGACACAGCCCGCCCAGCACGACGTTGAATGAGGCCTCGCTGGGCACACACACGCCCACTCCCTCCTCCACCCACATCTCCACCTCCTCCTCCCCCACTTCCCCCCTTTCCCCCTCCTCTACTTCCCATTCCTCCCCGTCCCCCTCCTCCTCCTCCCTCCCCTTTCCCCGCGGCCCTCTACCCTCTCTTCCCCTTGCTCCCTCTCCTTCCTCCCCTGCATCTCTCTCTCTTCCCCCCGCTGCCCTCTCCCGTCCGCGCGTCTGTGGGAGGGAGAAGCGCACGCGCCCCTGCTGCATGAGGCGGAAGACGCGCAGAGCGGTGGGGGCGGCGCCTGAGCGCGCGTAGGCGTCCATGAGCAGATTGTACCCCGACACATCCGCGCGCCACCCCTCTCGCGCCACCACCCACTCGTACACCTGTTGGGAGGGGAGAAGTGGCGGAGAGAGGGGTTCCGAGAAGGGAATGGGATGGGGGGCATGTTTTTGGTGGAAGGCAAGAAAAGAAAGGTGAGGCGGGTGGACGGGTGGGTTGGGGACGTGTGAGGGGAACAGTTGACTGAAGAAACGGGGAGATGGAAGGGTAGGGTCACCACCACATGCCGGCTTACATGCGCCACCACGTGCCACTCCTCCCTGCGCCTCAGCTCGCGCAGCACCGCCGCCACATCCTCCTCCGCGCCCTTCCGCCCTCCGCCTCCCCCTCCTCCCGCGCTAGCCGCCTCCAGCGCCGCCCATCTTTGTCGGCGCAGCTTCTGCTGGCGCAGCTGGCGCAGCAGCGCGGACGCGGACGGGCTCAGCACGGGCGGAAGCCGCACGGGGGGCTGGTCGCTGCGCCGCCACTTGCTGCCTGGGGAAAGGGGTTCGGGGGTTTGGGGGTGATTTGGGGGTTGGGGTCTGGACGAGAAAGGCATGGGGGTGATGGGCACGGGGGCATGCGCGCGGAACACTTTCTTCCTGCGCATTTCCTTTTCCGCCATTGCAAGCGCCCGTTGCGCGCGCTACTCGCCTCAAATCTCTCCTTCCCGTCCCCCCACCCATCGCGTCATTCCGCCTCCGCCCTTCCGCCTCCCACCTGCTAGAGCCACCACGGGGGCCGCGCGCCCTTGGCGTTGACTACTGGTGCCGCGGAGAGCGATCGGCGGAGGTCCGCTGAGCGGCATTCCGGGGCGCAGCGTTTGGCGCTTGGGGGAGAGCAGTGAGCGGCGGGGCATAGGCGCAGCACTCAGCTTTCCGCGCAGCCCGCCATCATCTGCGGGTGGCCATTTCAAGCGCCGAATGGCGGACTCCTGGGTGCTGTTCCGCGCGCCCGCGCCAGCATCCCATAGAGCCTCGCGCCCGCCGACTGCACATGCGCGCAGGCGGGCGGAGGCCGACATGGGCGCGGAGGGTGAGAGACGAAGAGGAGCGGTGTAGGGAGAGAGTGGGAAGCCTGGCACGTGCTGGGGGGTGGAGGCGAGGCGAGGCTTGTTTGTATGGTGCAATTGGCAGGTGTGCGAGCCATGCGATGATTGTTGGTGGGACAGTGGAGGCAATTGCCAACCATTTGGGTGATCAGAGCCAGTTGGTGTACAAAATTGACGCGAGTACGGTTGAGAGAGGTGCCTTGCAGATCCAACCATTTCATTGCCAACAGGAGAATCCATTCTTTCAATAAGCCATCTAAAGCACAATGAGTCACCTAAAGCTCCTACAACGAGCGGCGGCGGATTCGACAGTCCTAGCTAGCAGCATGGCAATGCAATCAAATAATAACAGCAAGCGCTCGTCCCTGCCCCACCCGGGATAGCAATCCCATGCGCGATGCAGCTGCTGTGCCCGTCTCGCCCGCTCCCGTGCTGCCGGTCCATGCGAGGCTGGGAGTGCGAGGCGAGGGGCGTGCTTGTGAGGCCCGGGAGGGCAGTGCGAGCAGCCGGGGCGGGTGTGGGCGCCGTGACAGCATGGCACTGCCCGCACATGGGGGCCTGTAAGCGGTGCTGCCAGCCTGCACCCGCCGCAGTGCCGGCCCCACACACACACGCACGGTGTGCTTGCAGCGGGCAGAGGTGGGAGAGGGGCGCGAGAGAAGCGTAGCGAGGGAGAAGGGGAGGGCAAGAAGAGGAGCGCGGTGTGGTGCGACAGCTGCAGCCCAGGTGAGAGCGGAGAGGGGGGCGTGGGGCGAATGGCAGTGCTGCCACGCCTGGCGGTGTGGGCGTGGCAGGGGGAGGGGGGAGCGCAGGTGGAGAGCAGCAGCGGCGCAGGGCAGCAGGGCGGCTGACGGGGACCTCTGGGCCTCTGACTGGGTGGCTCCTGCACCAGTTGCCACCTCCCCTTGTGGCACAGGGAGGGACTGTGGTCTTTGCCATATGCGAGTCTTACTGCCTCTTCCGCTGCCCCTCGCACTGCCGCTCGGCCCCCTAGACTCCCTGCCATTCACCATGCCTGATCTGACGCTGCCACCCCTATCGCCCCCTCCAACCCTAACTGCCGCCTTCCCCTCGGCTTCTGCCTGCTGTGCTGCTGCACTGCTGCTGCCCTCGCCCTCCTGCCCTGCACCTTCAACCCTGCTGTTGCTCTCCACGCCAAACCTCTCACCACCACCGCTGCTGCTCTCACCATCACTCTCATCACTGCCTCTCATGCTCTCACTGCTGCTGCTGCCATGACTCGCCCCATTGCCAGTCTGCCCAACACTGCCATCTCCCAAGCCCGCCCTGCTCCCGCCCCCCGCCCCTCTGATCCTATCTCCCCCTGTCCCACCCCCTTCCGCCCGCACCCGCCTGCCCCTCTCCTCGCGCTTGCTCAGCTTCCGCGCCCCCCCGCCCTGCGCGCCACACTTGTCGCGCTTCTCCGCGGCGATGCGCTGGGCGTCGCGCCACAGCCCCACGGACTGCCACGCCAGGCTCGTCTGCTCGTAGCACCGCGCGTCCAGCCGCCCCCCCTCCGCCTCCATCAGCCGCAGCACGGCCTCCGCGCGGTGGGGCAGGCGCGCCTCACAGAAGCCCCAGATGAGCGTGCGGAACGTGAACGCGTTGGGGCGCACGCCCGCGCCCACCATGCGCTCGTACACAGCCATGGCGGAGTCCATGCGCGCGCCCATGCTACAGTACGCGCCCATCACCGTCGTGTAAGTCACCACGTTCGGCGCCAACCCATGCTGCTCGCGCATCTCGTCCAGCAGCCGCTCGGCGGCGTCCCCCTGGCGCGCGCGCAGGTACCCCTTGGCGAGCACCGAGAACGCCTCCACGTCCGGCGCCAGCCCCGCCGCCATGGCCTCCTGCAGTACGGCGCGCGCGCGGTCGGGTCGCGCCGCGGTGCTCCAGGCGTTCATGAGCGTGCAGTACGACGCCAGGTCGGGGGGCACGCCCGCCAACCGCATCTTCTGCAGCACCTGCCGGGCCCAGCGCCGTGGGGGGTTGTGGGGGGGACGGCGGTGAGTGGGGAGAAATGCGGGGAATGGTGGTGAGTGGGGCGCTGTGCGTGAGGGGAACATGGGTGGAAGTGAGGAGTGGCAAAGCCAGCAGCTCACAGCACTCGGGATGCTGCGAGATCTAAGATTCGTGCTTCAGTCTAGCACATATCTGTTCCTTCGTCTCTTTGGTCGTTCCTTCTTTCCCCCGCTTTTTCACTCTCTGCTTGATCCGCCTCTCCTATTTTCTAGCTGCTCGCTCCTTCTTCTCCCGCCACACCCCTCGCGCCGCACGTTCTTCCGGCTCTTCGCCCGTCGATGACTAATCAAGCGCGCATGGCACATATCCGACCCCCTCACCCGCTCCTTCTCCTCACGCCCGATCCATCTCCTCACGCCCGTTCCTTCTAATCAACCACTCCTGCAACTCCGCCAACCATCTCTGCAGTCGCATTCCTCTCCCAATTCACCCGCCCTCACCTGCTGTCACCCGTCCCTCGGAACCGTCTCCCTCTCCCAGTTCGCCCGCTGCAAGGCAAGGAGCTCACCTGCGCGGCGGGGAGCGGCTGGCCGGCCTGGCAGTACCCCTTCACGATGGTGTTGAAGATCGTCGCGTTCGGCGCCACGTCCCACTCGCGCATGCGCTCCGCAACCACCTCCGCGTCCGCCATGCGCCCCACGTCGCACAGCGCGCGCACCATCATGCCGAACGTGCGCGCGTTGGGGCGCACGAGCGCGTTCACCATTTCGCGCAGCACGCGCTCGCAGTCGTTGGGGCGCCCCAGCCGCCCGTACGCCTTCATCAGCGTGTTGTACGACACCGCGTCCGGCGCCACGCCCGCTGCGCGCATCTCGCGCAGCACCGCGCGCGCCTGCTCCACGTCCCCGCGCTCGCACCACGCGTTCAGCAACATGTTGTACGTCCGCAACTCGCCGCCCTTCCCCTCCCCCCCCGCCCCTCCCCGTCCCCCGCAGCTTCTCCCGCGACCAGCTCCGCCCGCCCTTGCGCCGCCCTGCCGCTGCCCCCGCGCGTCCCACCATCATCTCCGCGACTTTCGCGGCGTCTTCCGGGCGCTTGGCGGCGCCGAAGCCTTTGATGAGCGTGTTGTACGTGCTGGCCGTCGGCTCCCACCCGTTGAAGCGCATGCGCCGCAGCACGGTCAGCGCCTCGTCCACGCGCGCGCGCGAGCAGAAGGCGTTCACCACGGCGTTGTAGCACACCGGGTCCGCCGCCACCCCCGCCGCTTCCATCTCCGCCAACACCGCTTCCGCCTTTTCTGGCTCCCCCAGCGTCGCGTGCGTCGCAATCACCTGCGAAAACGCCTCCAGCGGCGGGCGATGGCCGGCGCGCTGCAAACCGTCGATTGCAGCCTGCATGCCGGCGACGTCAGCCGTCGCACGGCAAGATGTGATGCGGTTCAAAGCGGTGGCGACGTCCGGGCACGCCAAGGGGCGCTTACCCTTCTCCTTGGCGGAGCAGTGCGCGCAGCGAGCGGCTGGCGGAGGGGCATCGCAGAGCCACGAGGGATGCGCGGAGCTGCCGCACTGCAAGCAGCGGAACTGGCGGGAATAGCAGACACAAGGGGGATGGGGGGGAATGGGGGATACAGGACCTTGGATCAGCGAGGCCAGTGCGAGCTAGCTAGGGCGGGTGGACGCACGAGTCTGAGAAGGTGTGATGGGGGAATTGGGCATAGGCAGAGGAGAGATTTGCGGCGAACCTTGGCTGATTGGGTGGTGGCAGAAATCGAGGCGGGCGGGGATGCGTCGTCCGCCGCACTGCCGATGTCCAGCAGTCCCTCCGCCCACCGCTCGTCGTCGCTCCTCACGTCACTGTCGCTCCACGCGTCGACGTCGCTTCTCGCGCCGCCGTCGCTCCTCGCGCCGTCGTCCGACTCGAAGCCGTCCGGCAGCGACGGACGCGACGGCCGCGGCAGGGACGCATCGCGAGGCGGTCTCTTGAAGCGCGCCGATTCCTGGGCGAGCGGAGGCATGGTGGGCAGGGAGGTACGACGGTCAGCGACGCACCAGTTGACGCACGTGATGCAGCAGCATGGCAGCTGCGGATTGCGAATTCGTCAAGCCGTGGTCGCCATGACTAGAGACTTCTGCTTGCAATGCGGTGATCAGCAAATGACAGTGTGCTGTGCCTAATCAGTAGAGCAGACAGTGGACGAGACGAGTGAAAGTGTTCCGATGCGTTGCGACAGTATCGAGGGTGGCGGGTGGGACCTTCTCGAGGGACAGCAGGGAAATTATCCCGAGATTGGACCTCGAGCCAGGTTGACGTGGCCGATGGCACACCTCATTTGCCTCTACACGTCGGACAAGAAATCAGCGATCCAATCAGCGTCGTTGAACGCCCAAGTTCCAGCGTGCGTGCACCACCTGGGACCAGACAAGTGCAGCGGAAATCAAAACTCAGCCTACAGTCAGACTCTTTACGACGCTAACACGAATTTGTAGTACAGTGCAATGTCAAGTACAGGCTAAATTCCGCATTCCGACTCCACCCATTGCTAATTAATGCTTTCCATTATCGAAGGCCATAATCAGCGTACATTCTCGAGGTCATGGCTGCCCGCCGCCTTCTCCCCCTTACACTCCGCCGAGTGCGCGGATTGCCCAACCCAGTGCTGTCGCCAGCCTCCGCCGCTCCATCGCCGCTTCCGCCTCTCTCCGCGTGCGCCGCCCCCGCCGACCGCACGATCCACACGGCACTTTCTTCCGGATCACCCGCCACGCCTCCGCCCACCCTCTCCGCTAATGAAGCCACCGCGCATGGCGCACACCCCGCGCCTACCTCTCCCCACGCGCACCCCCTTTCCGCCTTCTCGCAGCCTCTCCGATTCGTTCACGCCGCGACCACATTCGCCTCGTCCCCGCATTCCCCGGAAGGGACGGTGCCACCTGGCAGTACCACGTCAGCAGCCGCCGGCGACGGTTGGCACGAAGCCACGTCAACTGCGCGCGAGTCGACGGCAGGCGGCGGGGTGTCGGACGGCAAAGCAGGGGGCGGCGGAGCGAGATGGGCGCAGGCCCGTGCGCCAGAGTGGGAGGAGCGCGTGTATGCGCGCGGCGTGCGCGGATACAACAACGTGCTGCAGCACCTGGCGGACACTAACAGGTGCGCGGGTGGCGCGGACGTGGGGGGGGATGGGGTGGGGAACGGGGGAGATGGGGTGGGTGGGAGGGGGGTGTGATGGGGAGGGCATGCGGAAGGGTCGTGCAGAAGGAATAACAAGACAAGACTCCCTTACTTGGCATGGCACGGCATGCCATCGCTCCTTGGTGTCAGCTCAACCCCTAGCTAGCTCCTCACCCAGCCCACCCACCCCCTGCCAATTCAATACAATCACCTGCATGCCTGCCACGTGGCACCATCTGCATCACTCAGGGCGCACCTGCTGCGCGACGTGTGGAGCGACATGCAGAGTGACGGCGTGGCGCCCGACCGCACCTCCTTCCACCTCGCCACCGCCGCCGCCATGAAGGCCGGCCGCCTGCACGACGTGCTCTTCTTCTTCAATCACATGAAGACACGTGGCATGGCGCTTGACGTAAGCATCGTGTGCTGCCTGCTTTCCCCCGCCCCTTTCCCCCCCGTCTCTGCTCAGCGTGCGTCCACCCCCGGAGGTGGTTACCTCCACACATTCCTTGCTTGTGGCCCATCCCCCTTCCCTACCTTCACCCATCCCTCCCATCCCCATACCCCATGCTCCATGCGTGTCCCATGCCCCGCACCCCATGCCCCATGCCCTGCACGCCATGCCCCATGCATGCGTCACACGGCTGGCATGCATCAGGTGGTGATGCACAACATGGTCATCAGCGCCTGTGCCATCTGCCTGCATGTCGACCTCGCCTTCAAGGTGCCTCCCGCCCCCCCCTGCACCTACCGCCCCCACCTGCACCTACCGGCCCCCCCTGCACCTACCGGCCCCCCCTGCACCTACCGGCCCCCCCCTGCACCTACTGGCCCACTCCTGCTCCTACCAGCCTCCCCCTGCACTGCTGCCTGCCTGCATCGCCAATGCCATGTTGATTGCACCGGATGGGCACCTGCACCGGATGGGCACCTGCTCTGCTTCACTTCCACCGTGCGTTCCATACCCCTCCATGCTTCCTCACACAACGTGGCATGGCACGGCACGGCATGGCAGGTGGCGGAGGGCATGAGGAGGGAGGGCATGAGGAGGGAGGGCATGAGGAGGGCGGGCATGAGGAGGGAGGGCATGAGGAGGGCGGGCATGAGGAGGGCGGGCATGAGGAGGGCGGGCATGAGGAGGGAGGGCATGAGGAGGGCGGGCATGAGGAGGGAGGGCATGAGGAGGGCGGGCATGAGGAGGGCGGGCATGAGGAGGGCGGGCATGAGGAGGGCGGGCATGAGGAGGGCGGGCATGAGGAGGGCGGGCATGAGGAGGGCGGGCATGAGGAGGGCGGGCATGAGGAGGGCGGGCATGAGGAGGGCGGGCATGAGGAGGGCGGGCATGAGGAGGGCGGGCATGAGGAGGGCGGGCATGAGGAGGGAGGGCATGAGGAGGGCGGGCATGAGGAGGGCGGGCATGAGGAGGGCGGGCATGAGGAGGGAGGGCATGAGGAGGGCGGGCATGAGGAGGGAGGGCATGAGGAGGGCGGGCATGAGGAGGGCGGGCATGAGGAGGGCGGGCATGAGGAGGGCGGGCATGAGGAGGGCGGGCATGAGGAGGGCGGGCATGAGGAGGGCGGGCATGAGGAGGGCGGGCATGAGGAGGGCGGGCATGAGGAGGGCGGGCATGAGGAGGGAGGGCATGAGGAGGGCGGGCATGAGGAGGGCGGGCATGAGGAGGGCGGGCATGAGGAGGGAGGGCATGAGGAGGGAGGGCATGAGGAGGGCGGGCATGAGGAGGGAGGGCATGAGGAGGGCGGGCATGAGGAGGGAGGGCATGAGGAGGGAGGGCATGAGGAGGGCGGGCATGAGGAGGGCGGGCATGAGGAGGGAGGGCATGAGGAGGGAGGGCATGAGGAGGGCGGGCATGAGGAGGGCGGGCATGAGGAGGGAGGGCATGAGGAGGGAGGGCATGAGGAGGGCGGGCATGAGGAGGGAGGGCATGAGGAGGGCGGGCATGAGGAGGGAGGGCATGAGGAGGGAGGGCATGAGGAGGGCGGGCATGAGGAGGGCGGGCATGAGGAGGGAGGGCATGAGGAGGGCGGGCATGAGGAGGGCGGGCATGAGGAGGGCGGGCATGAGGAGGGCGGGCATGGAGTTCCATCAGCGCACATACACCGCACTGCTCAATGCCGCCGCCAACACCGGCCGCATCGCCCTCGCGTGAGCCCACCTCCCCTTCACCCTTCCACCAATCGTGCACCCCCACTCCTCTCACTTCCACCCCTGCTGCTGCTCATGTGCCCTTCCCTTGGCAGCCCTGCCCTGCCCTGCCTTCCTCTACCCTGCCTTCCTCTACCCTGCATGCATCCGCCTCTCTCTCCCATTCCAGCACGTCAAACTCCTCCCTGCCCCCGCTTCCTCCCAACCTCGTTGTGCTGCCTTCCTCAACCCCCTGCCCTCCCCCCCACCGGGACGTGTGTGGGAGCAGGGAGGCGGTGGTGCGGGAGATGGAGGCGGGGGGCAGGCAGCGCACGCGCCTCACACTGGCGGCGCTCATCACGGCCCACGCCAACCACCTCCCGCTGCTGCCCCGCTGCAAACCCAAGGTCCCACCTGCTCCTGCTTGCACTGCCACGGCAGCACAGCAGCTGACCCATGTTACTGCCGCGCCGCGCATCTCTCCTCTCATCCTTCCCCATGCTCTTTCCTCTTGTATACCGTTCCCTCTCCCCCTCACCACTGCCATTCCATCCCCCCACCCCTCTCCCTCTTGCAAGCCATCCTTCTCCCCCTCGCCTGCCCCACGCCATCCCCCTCCCCATCCCCCTCCCCATCCCCCTCCCCATCCCCCTCCCCATCCCCCTCCCCCATCTCTCCGCCCCCCAGGTGCTGGCGCTGCTGAATGAGGCGCGCGCCCTGCCCTCTGAGGAGCCGCCAGTGCAGGGGGGAGGAGAGGGGGAAGGGGAGGGGGGAGAGGAGGGGGGGGAGGAGTTGGGAGGAGGAGGGGGAGAGGAAGGGGTGGATGAGGGGGATCAGGCGGCGTTAGCAGGGGGAGGAGCGGCAAGAGCAGAAGCAGCTGCCATGCAGGGTGGCGGCACGGTGCAGGGCGGCACGTTGCGGCATTACATGGCAGCGCTGACGGCTATGGAGACGCTCAGAGACCCGCAGGTGAGGCCGGGGGGGGAGGGAGAGAAGGGGGGAGGCAGATGGGGGGAGAGGCAGGGGGGGGGGTAAGGCAGGCGGGGAATTTGAGGCGAGGGAAGGCGGGCGCAGGTGAGGGTGGAGAGCGGGACCAGTCCGCTCGGTGTGACATACCTCCCTCTCCCCTCGCCCCTCCCTCTGGGACCATACCATACCATACCATGCCATGCCATGCCATGCCTGCCATGCCATGCCATGCCATGCCATGCCTGCCATGCCATGCCATGCCATGCCATGCCATGCCTGCCATGCCATGCCATGCCTGCCATGCCATGCCATGCCATGCCATGCCATACCATGCCATGCCATGCCATGCCATACCATGCCATGCCATACCATACCATACCATGCCATGCCATACCATGCCATGCCATGCCATACCATACCATGCCATGCCATACCATGCCATGCCATACCATGCCATACCATACCATGCCATGCCATGCCATGCCATGCCATGCCATGCCTGCCATGCCTGCCATGCCATGCCATACCATGCCATGCCATGCCATGCCATGCCTGCCATGCCATGCCATGCCATGCCATGCAGGGGGCGGAGCAGGTGATGGCAGCAGCGAGGGAGGACGGGGTCACACCAAATGCACACATGCACCGCCGCCTCATCAGGTGGGTCCGCCAGCTCATCAGGTGGGTCCGCCAGCTCATCAGGTGGGTCCGCCGGCTCATCACGTGCTCTCCTCCACGTCTGCCTTTCTATCCCCTGCCACTCTGCTCACTGCATCTCTCTGCTCACTGGATCTCGCTGCTCACTGGATCTCGCTGCTCACTGGATCTCGCTGCTCACTGGATCTCTCTGCTCACTGGATCTCGCTGCTCACTGGATCTCTCTGCTCACTGGATCTCTCTGCTCACTGGATCTCGCTGCTCACTGGATCTCGCTGCCGCCCTCCAACAACTTCTCCCCTCCCACCCTCCCCACCTTACCCCATTCCCCCTTCCCACAATCACCCCCTCCCCTCCATCCTCCCCTTACCCCCTTCCTCCTCCCCCCCACCAGGGTGTATGCGAGTGCGGGGCAGCTGCAGGCGGCGAGGGCGGTGTGGGAAGCGTTTGTGGCCTCGGGGGGCTACCCGGGGAGGAGCCTCTTCCTGGTGGGTGGGTGGGTGGGTGGGTGGGGCACGCACACATGCACCCATGCCACTGTCTTTGAATGAGAGCCATTCTGCCCCTTAACACTGCCATGGGATCAGAGGTTCTCCTTTTGTTGCCATGGGATCAGAGGTTCTCCTTTTGTTGCCATGGGATCAGAGGTTCTCCTTTTGTTGCCATGGGATCAGAGGTTCTCCTTTTGTTGCCATGGGATCAGAGGTTCTCCTTTTGTTGCCATGGGATCAGAGGTTCTCCTTTTGTTGCCATGGGATCAGAGGTTCTCCTTTTGTTGCCATGGGATCAGAGGTTCTCCTTTTGTTGCCATGGGATCAGAGGTTCTCCTTTTGTTGCCTCTCCTTCCTCCTCACTTCCAGCCGCCCTCAACCCTCGAGTCTTTCTCGCTCTCCCACCCCTGTCCCCGTGCCTCCGCGCATCTCCTCCTCCGCGCCCAACCCCCCCTCTCCTCGCGCGGCAGCACGTGGCGGAGGCAGCAATGGCGCAGGCCACGCGTGACAGCACCGCCATCGCACACCAGTACATGGTCAGAGCAGTGCGGCAGTGCGCGCATGGCAGGGCAGTGCGCGCATGGCAGGGCAGTGTGTTTTGCGGTTGGCACTGGCGCCGATGTAGTTGTTGCTATCACCATTGCACTCTGTACCACTTGACTCCCTGCCTCTCACCTACCGCCATGCCGTTCACCTCAAGCCCGTCACACCGCTGTGCATTGAAAATGTCCTCTCCTCCTCGCACGTGTGCTCCCCCTCTCCCCTGCACGGCACCCCCCCCTCGCCTGCACCACAACCCCCCCGCCCAGGAGGAGTTCTTCAAAGCGGGCTACTTCCTCAATCCCGCCACGGGTGCTCGCCTGCTCAAACTCGCCTCCATCTTCGCCCGCAAGGTGCCGCTCCCACCCCTGCTTGCTCCCACCCCTGCTTGCTCCCACCCCTGCTTGCTCCCACCCCTGCTTGCTCCCACCCCTGCTTGCTCCCACTCCTGCTTGCTCCCACCCCTGCTTGCTCCCACCCCTGCTTGCTCCCACCCCTGCTTGCTCCCACCCCTGCTTGCTCCCACCCCTGCTTGCTCCCACCCCTGCTTGCTCCCACTCCTGCTTGCTCCCACCCCTGCTTGCTCCCACCCCTGCTTGCTCCCACCCCTGCTTGCTCCCACCCCTGCTTGCTCCCACTCCTGCTTGCTCCCACCCCTGCTTGCTCCCACCCCTGCTTGCTCCCACCCCTGCTTGCTCCCACTCCTGCTTGCTCCCACTCCTGCTTGCTCCCACCCCTGCTTGCTCCCACCCCTGCTTGCTCCCACTCCTGCTTGCTCCCACCCCTGCTTGCTCCCACCCCTGCTTGCTCCCACCCCTGCTTGCTCCCACCCCTGCTTGCTCCCACCCCTGCTTGCTCCCACCCCTGCTTGCTCCCACCCCTGCTTGCTCCCACCCCTGCTTGCTCCCACCCCTGCTTGCTCCCACCCCTGCTTGCTCCCACCCCTGCTTGCTCCCACCCCTGCTTGCTCCCACCCCTGCTTGCTCCCACCCCTGCTTGCTCCCACCCCTGCTTGCTCCCACCCCTGCTTGCTCCCACCCCTGCTTGCTCCCACCCCTGCTTGCTCCCACTCCTGCTTGCTCCCACTCCTGCTTGCTCCCACTCCTGCTTGCTCCCACTCCTGCTTGCTCCCACCCCTGCTTGCTCCCACTCCTGCTTGCTCCCACTCCTGCTTGCTCCCACCCCTGCTTGCTCCCACCCCTGCTTGCTCCCACTCCTGCTTGCTCCCACCCCTGCTTGCTCCCACTCCTGCTTGCTCCCACTCCTGCTTGCTCCCACCCCTGCTTGCTCCCACCCCTGCTTGCTCCCACCCCTGCTTGCTCCCACCCCTGCTTGCTCCCACCCCTGCTTGCTCCCACCCCTGCTTGCTCCCACCCCTGCTTGCTCCCACCCCACCCCTGCTTGCTCCCACCCCTGCTTGCTCCCACCCCTGCTTGCTCCCACCCCTGCTTGCTCCCACCCCTGCTTGCTCCCACCCCTGCTTGCTCCCACCCCTGCTTGCTCCCACCCCTGCTTGCTCCCACCCCTGCTTGCTCCCACCCCTGCTTGCTCCCACCCCTGCTTGCTCCCACCCCTGCTTGCTCCCACCCCTGCTTGCTCCCACCCCTGCTTGCTCCCACCCCTGCTTGCTCCCACCCCTGCTTGCTCCCACCCCTGCTTGCTCCCACCCCTGCTTGCTCCCACCCCTGCTTGCTCCCACCCCTGCTTGCTCCCACCCCTGCTTGCTCCCACCCCTGCTTGCTCCCACCCCTGCTTGCTCCCACCCCACCACAGGCTCGCATCCCCCACCCGCTCCCACACCCCACTTGCTCCCACCCTTCATTTGCTCGCTCTCACCACACGCTCTCTTGCTCATCACATGCCCACCTGCCCACACCAGCTGAACGAATCAATAGGTAGGACTCTCCCTGTTCCCCTCGCTGCCACAGCTTCCTCCCACCTGTCACTGTGACTGCCCAGTTCCTCTCCCCCTCACCCCCACCTCTCCCCTCCACCTCTCCCTGTTGCTCCCCCCCGTCCACCACTCTCCCCCTCGCCTCTCCCCCACTCTCCCCCGACCTCGCCCCACACCTCTCCCTCACCCATCGCCCTCCGCAGAGTGGCGACCCATCATGTGCGGCGCTCATATTCGACCGCTACGTGGCGTCCATGAGGGACGTGGATCCAGACGCGCTCACGTTCCCCTCCGCCTCTCCCCTGGTGTCCCTCTCCCCCCACCTCTCCCCACACTCCCCCCACCTCTCCCCACACCCATCACATCAGAGTGGCGACCCATCGTGCGCATCGCTCATATTCGAGCGCTACGTGGCGGCCATGAGGGACGTGGATCCAGACGCCCTCTGTGTCTTTGCCTCTGCGCTGCTGGACCTGGGCGTGCCGCCCTCCGATGCACGTGTGCACCGCGCTCACAGCCTCGCGGCACAGCGGCGTTCTGTGCGCCTGCAAGCCAAGGCACGTGCCGGCGTTTGGCACGGCGCTTTTCCACCGCCCGTGTAGGCGGCGGGCGGGTTCGGGTGGTGACAGACAGGTGCAGGTGGTGGCTGATTGGCCAGGACTGGTTTAGGGTGGTGAATGTGAATGTGTACCAACAGTACAAGGCGGCCTTCTCTGTAAACCTCAGTTGTTGGAAGGAAGAAAGGTAGCTTGTTCTTACCCTTTCCAACTAAATCAGTTCTGCTAGTAGCATAGTTGGCAAACAGAGACGGTGTGGCAGTTGGGTTGATGTACCGTAACGGTGGATGGGCTATCTGTGAGCACATCCGCTTTAGACCAGTCACAGTGGAAGCCTGGAAGGAAGCCATGGTTTACTGGGCAGGGCACGCGCTCCCCCGCCCATGTAGGCGGTGCCAGGTGGAGGGTGCGTGACGCCTTCTCAAGTCACAGAATGGGGCTAGTGGGAGTGTGGTCTTCGGTAGCAACAGCAACAGTGCAAGGAGATGGTGGAAGGAAGAATGCCGGTACCGGTACCAGGTGCAATGATACGGTTTGCTGTCGTGCCCATGTATACCCACTCTGATGTGCTAGTCATGAACACACTCCGTGGTCAGTTGTTCTGTCTGCTACCAACACCCCTGTTGCCCCACCTGGCTGCCGTGTCTGAATGAGTTAAACATGCCACCACGTCTCCAGCTATTCCAGCTGCACTGACAACACCATGAGCTTTAATAATAGCATTGGTCTGATATATATTTAATAACAAAGGACGCACCCCTGCCACTTCAGCCTTCGGATAGGCTAAACTCGGCTGGCAGAGCTGCAATCGCATAAACCTAGATGAACTAACAGACAAGGGAGAGGGAGGGTGCTTGCGCGGGCCCTCATGGAAGCCCCAGCAGCAAGCAGTCTATGGCGGGCGGGCAGTGGCCCGGGTGCATACATGGGCGATACGGCATGCTACTATCGCTGTCGGAGCACACGGCTCCCACGCGCATGCCTTGTGGAACTGAGCAGGCGGGGCAGCAGCGCGGCGGATTAGATTTCTTGGCCGAAGTCAACGAAGGGGCGGCCGGTGTCGATGACTTTGCGCTTGGCCACCGTGTTGATCAGCGCGATCATGGACGTCACGCCCGCTGCACTCGCACACACACGTCACATGCCACGCACACGGGGGAGAATTGAGTTCCATGTGCCACTGTTTGAGCGGGGTCACGCTCAACGCGGGAGTCCCTTCACAAGCTGCCGTAAGGAAGCTCGTGAGTTCGGTTCAGTATGTTTCCATGCGCTGATTAGCAGTTGCGGTGGGTCCTAAATGCAAAAGAAACCGAATCGCCGTACCCCAGCGCACGCATAGCACGCGAGAGTTTGAGTTTGCCCTCTTTTCTTTCCCTCTGACCTTGCCCTCTCCTAGTCCCACATGATTCACAGCACTCCGCACCACCACCGTGTCATCACCCTTAATATCCACTACTGCGCGGCGCAGCGCGGCTCATCACGCACACAGCAACCCCACGCGCATGCTCGCACCGTTTCCGTTCCTTTATCTTTCCACAATAATAAAATTCAAGGAGAGAACGCTAACCTGCGATGGCGGTGACGACGCCGACATAGCCGCCGGCCTTGTTCCAGTTCTTATTGGAGGGCGTGAAGTTGGCGATGACGAGCAGCACGAAGGTGATCTCGAGAAAAAAGAAGGTGATGCAGACGGTCTTGGGCATGAGCAGCGTGGCGAGGAACATGTACGTGTTGAATATCATGAACCCCGACAGGTACCACCCCAGCGCGCTCGCTACCACCTCCTTGGGCACCTGCGGGGGGGCGGGGGAGGTGCGGGAGGCGGGAGGCGTTGGGGGGGAAGCGGGGAGAGTTGACGAAGGCGACTTGCAAGGCGCGCAGGACAGGTGGCGCATGGGCGACGCGCGGATCGAGGGCAGGGCCCGTGCGGTGAAGCAGTGGAATTTGAAATGAAGGAAATCGAAGCGGTGGGATTTGAAGCGGTGGGAGCGAGGCGGCGAGGGCGAGGGGGCTGACCCAGCCGAGGAGTTCGAGGAGGATGAAGGTGGCGAGGCCCATCCAGAAGCAGCCGAACGACGTGAAGGCCGTGCACGCGAAGACGTTGTCGTGCTTGAACTCCCACATGCCCGCCAGGATCTGCCCCACGCCGCCGTAGAACAGCGCCAGCCCCATCCATATGTGGTTCGGCGCCCACCCTGCCGCGCACCGCCGGATAGCGGAACAGGAAAAGCGAGGGTTAGCGCGGGTGGGGGCGACAGTGTGGGTGTTTGCGGTCAGTTGCTGCGTGGCAAGTCGCAGATGAAAACGAGATGCACTGGCATGCATCCTGGCGGCGGGGTAGCGTACCTGCGTTGTGCGCCGATAGAACGAAGGTGGTCAGCGCGAAGGACGCGAGGCCCAGTGGAGCCGGGTTGGCGATCTTCTCCGGTTCGATGAGCGCTCTGTACCCACACGACTCTGCCATTGCGTGCTGTGTGTACGCGCTTTGTGATTAAGGACTGGGTGTGACGTGTTTGACCTGCTGAGCTAGCAATGTCTCAGTTGCGGAACTACGAATTTGATCACTGTGGGGGGAGAGTGAGTCTGAGCTGAGATAGTACGCGTTAGGAGCGAGTGACTGAGGGACGCAAGGAGCAAAGAATGGTGAAAGTCGAAGACGGAAAATGCGTCGAGTGGCTTTGACAGTTGAATGAGCCAGCTGCACACGCCCCTCCCCCTCTTCATCTCTCTCACCTCGCCGCACCACACCGCTTCCGCTGCTTCCGCGAGCTCCGCACCTTTCGCTTCGCGCTCCCCTGACTCCCTACATGTGCAGTTATGGCGCGTAACCGAACCTAACCTGACACGTTTGGTCCCGAGATCTGTGGGTTCGGTCCAGCGCAGCAAGGTTCGGCAGATTGGTGGGCTCGTCGCGTCAGCAACAGATGCTCCATCTCTCGTGCCAACGCAACGTTTCATGACACACCTGTGCCTGTGGGGGCACTGCTTTTCGTAGACGCGCCGTCGCATATAGTACAGGTGTCAGGGTCCACGTGCTCCTGTCTGCTTGACCCCTCTTTGAGGCTCCCAGTTGTTCACCTACCTCGCGTTGCGGGTTTCATGTGTCAAATAAGTCAACCCAATCACATCAGCGCATCTTCTATGTATCAAACCATCAGCTGCCATTGTTGCGCTGTCAAGCCTAGCTGGACTCTCACTTGGCAACCTTTTGCGTGCGCTGTCACGGGATTCTCGCGTGCAACATCTCACGTTGGAGAAACAGTTGTTGGGTTTGGTGTTCAAGCAAAAGCACGAACCGCGTGCCCTCCCGCCCAGCTGATTGGCTGAGCAGTGCGTCGTGGTTCGGCCCAAACCGGATTACCGCGTAACCCTGAACGCTCCGTTTCTTGTGATTTGGCGGAGAGTTGTTGAGGGGGAAGCCCAGCGCGACCGTCTTCGCCTTTATCTCCCTGCCTCATTCGTTCCTCTCTCCAACTCCAAGTTACGCTAGTAAATTCGACAGGCTATCAATCCGTTTATCCTTGCACTCACCTCCCAACACAAGTCACAGACCTATCCATCACTGTCAATCCTTTGCCCAGCACGACCAAGTTTCGACTGTCGATTTTCTCACCAACAAATCTCATCACTTCTATAGACTATACTTCATAGCACCATGGGTCTGGAAGACGGTGCGCCCGACGAGATCCGCATCGCCAGCCAATGGAAACCCACAGCCGACGGGCGGCCGCTGGGACTGGCGGCGTTCGCGTGCACGACCTACATCATGTCCGCATTCAACGCCGGTTCGTCCCACTCCTTTCCCTCTCGCCCTTCCCTGCGTAACCATTCCGTCGCTCACGCCTGCTCACTTCCGCTGCCATTCCCTTGAAAGCCACCGCTTCCTTCCCTTGGCCCGTTGGGGTGGCTTGGTGTCCCGTCTCTCCATTCGCTTGCCTGCGACCGCTGTCTTGCCTTGCCCGCTCCAAAGCTCACCCGCTCCTCTCCTCCGTCCCTTTCCCCCCGCGCCGCTGCAGGCTGGGCGCCCGACTTCATCTGGATCGGGGCGGGGCTCTTCTACGGCGGGCTGGGGCAGCTGTTAGCGGGGATGTGGCAGTTCAAGCGCAACTGCACGTTCACGGCCACCGCCTTCTCCACGTACGGCTGCTTCTGGATGTCGCTCGCCGCCTTCAAGATCCTCGAAATCTCCAAACTCGTGAGTGCCGCCATGCCTATCCGCGGCAGTCCCGCGTGGCCTTCCGTCTCGAAACCCCTCGCCACCATCGCTCCCTGTTGCGAGCTTTTCCGAAACGCGCCGTGGAGCGCTCCTGACCTGATCAAACTTTTACGCGACACAACAAAACAAACAAGAAGAATGATGATCTTCGGCAGCACTGACACAATTGTCCGCGCCGCAAGCAAGCACAGACTTGAATAGGATGAGCCCCGGCGGCACGGCCCACGCGCTCATCCACCCACCCTTCCCATCTCGTCTCCCCCCAACTCCCTCTTCCCCGCTTCACGCCCTGCTCGCTGCGTCCGCTCCTTCCCCCCCCTCTCCCCCCCCCCCCTACCCCATTGGCGCGTGCAGCTGCCGAAGGAGACAATGCCGGAGGTGGTGGACGCGGTGGGGTGGTTCCTGCTGGCGTTCTTCCTGTTCAACACGTACGTGCTCGCGGCGTCGCTCATGATGTGCGTGGTGGAGGTAGTGGTCTTCTTCCTGCTCGAGCTCACGCTGCTCTGCCTCTTCGTCGGCCACCTCAAGGGGCAGCCCGCCGGCCTCACGGCGTCCTGGACCATGGCGGGCGGCTACTTCGGCCTCTTCACCGCCATCGCTGGTATGCACTCCACCCGCCCTGCGCTCCCCTCTCTCCGCACTCCGTTTCCTTAATTCTGTCCCTCTCCTCTCCCATGCTTCCCTCTGTCCGCCTCTTGCGCATCCACCTCTCGCGGTGTCTCATCCACCCCTACTCTCCCCCCCCTCTTCCCCCACTGCAGCGTGGTACTACTCGTTCGCATGCCTGTTCAACTCGCTCATCAAGAAGCAAGTCATCCCCGTGGGGCCGCCGCTCATCAAGTTCAACGTCGAATAAGCCCGCCAACCCAACCACCCCATGAGCTCTGTTTCTCGCCAACCACGCGCGCCAGTCGCGGCTGGCTTGCACCCATGTTTCTTTACTCGCACCAGCTGGAGCGCTTGAAAGCCGCTTGTTCCAATTGGTGCCCTTACAGCCGTCTAGGACGCATGTGTATTTAGCATTATATTTACTCTATAGCTACCCATTCCGTTCTACCTGCCTGCTGGACGCAAAAGCAAACATATGCGCACTAAACTTGGCCTGAGCCAAAAATGATTTGAATGCCCGGATCTCAGGTGTGTGCGGTAATACGGTAGATGTGAAACAGAGGGGGGGGAGTGGCGGGGTTGGCCCAAGGGAGAACCCAGGGAAGGCATAACACATGAAGCAGATACTGCGCTGAACATCTGCCCAATGCCATGTACAGGTGCCATCTTTGCCTCGCTGTAAACTCCGCAAGCAGTCTGCATGACTTGGAACAGTCGCCGCACCGCATGGCTCTGTTCTGACAGTGTGGCATGGGAGGCATTCTGGGGAGAGTTGGTGAAACGAATGGGCTAGTGGCAGGAGAAGCTGCTGAAGCCATACCCAGCTGCCAGTGACCCTTGCTGGTTCTATCTCCCTGTCCGTAGGGTTGTCTCCCGTTCATTTGCATGTCCATCCGTCATCCTCTTCGCATGGACATGGCAGGTGAGCGTGTCAGAGGTCCACTGGTGATCCCCGATTGATCCTAGGGAAGGGTTACAGGCACGTTGGCCTGGGGGGTTATGGGCGCACTCACCCGCTACACAAACAAGCCCTTTTATCCCAGTGGTTAGTGGCTGGGCTTCTAACATAGTATCAGAGCTGTTGGGCTAAAAAACCCTTAGGATCTTTGCAGGGGTGAACTCTGGGTAGAGTTGGTGTAGTAGCGGAAGCGTTAATTAAAGAGTTGTGAACCACCTTGCGCTAGTATGTGAGGGCAAAGTAAGCTGATTAAAACAAAGAGATACAAGCTTTTATAAGAGTACAAGGAATACGAAGAGATACAGTTAATAACCGTTTTACTATTGCTGTTGCGGTTCGATACAGTGACGACTCGGGCAACTGCTCAATACCGAGTCAGTTGTTTGTCCTTGCTGTCGCGCTGTACTTTGTCAGGTCAAAGGTCGCTGACCTTTGACTTTCGCGTAACCTCCAACAGTTACTTTCAACCTCCGAGGGTTGACTCGCCGGTGATTCGTTATACTTCGTTTCTTTTGTGTCTTAGTGTTTCGACACGACAGAGGCGCTTAGGACCGATTGTTTCCAACACTCCCCTTCGTTTCTGGAGTGTCGCTGACGTGGCTCTGTCCAGTCAGCAACATGCAGTATTCGAACTTCTGCTTTCCGAGCTTCTTGGTCAAGTAGTCAGCTGCCATCTCAGACGTGGGACAGTATGACAGCTCGAGCCTTCCCTTCTCGATCTCGTCCTTCACGAAGAAATATCGCAGGGCGATGTGTTTCGTCCTGTTCGCGAAGCCGTTCTTGTTGGCGATGCGAATTGCCGACTGGTTGTCGCAGAACAGGGTAAAGTTGGGTAACTCGGCTAACTTCGCTTCTTCCAGCAGCTCGCGAAGATAGAGTCCTTCCTTGGTGGCTGAGCAGAGTGCAATATATTCTGCTTCAGCTGACGAGAGAGCAATTAATTCCTGCTTGCTCGACTGCCAAGAGATAGGTCCGATAGGTTCGAGGCGGTAGATGTAGCCGGTGCGGGAGCGCCTATTGTCGGAGTCGCCAGCGTGATCAGCGTCGACGTAGCCGATTAACTTAGTCGGTGTGGTTGCGTTCTTGTAGTAAGTTAGGCCGATCGTTGGGGTGCTGACGAAGTAGTGAAGAGCGCGGTCGAGCTCCGCCAGATGTTCTGCTTCAGGCTTCTTGAGGTAGGTGGCGAGCTGGCTTGCGGAGTATGAGAGGTCGGGGCGACAGGTGACGGCTGCGAAGAGAAGACATCCCAGCTTCTTCTGGTAGTCTCGTATGCCGGCGGGCTTGAGTAGAGCGGAGCTTCCTTTGTCGTTCCCTGCCGTGTAGCGGTATGGCGTGGAGATGGCTGTCGGTGTGAGCGTAAAGCGTTTGGCGATGGTGTCGGCATATTTCTCGACGCTGAGGTAGATCGCGTCCTCCTCTTCCCGGATGTTGAGGCCGAGGTACTGAGTGACGGTAGATGAAACTGTGAGCGTGAGATCTCGCTGCAGCTCCCCTTCGAACCAGGTAGTGATGCCGTCATTCGATCCGATATAAAGGAGATCGTCCACGTAGACGATTAGTAGGATGTAGTCGTCGTTTTTTGTGAGCCGGTACATGCCTTGATCGTGCGGTAGTTGCTTGAAGTCGATGTGGATGAGGCGAGCGTGCAGGTACTGTTGCCACAGTCGCGGAGCCTGCTTGATGCCGTAGAGTGACTTGAGTAGCTGGCAGACTTGGTTGGGTTCTCTGTGGGAGCCGTGCGGTAGCTCGACGAAAATTTCTGCATCAACAGGTGCGTAGAGAAACGCGTTCGCGACGTCAATTTGTCGCAGCTTCTTCTTCTTCATGGCGGCGATTGCGAGGAGAATGCGTAGTGAGGTGTGGCGGCTAACCGGAGCGAAAGTTTCGGTGAAGTCGCGTCCGTGTTCTTGGTCGAAGCCGCGTACAACCCAGCGAGCTTTAAATTTGTCAATGGTGCCGTCAGCCTTTGTCTTCACACGGAAGACCCACTTCCCGGTGAGCACTGTCTTGTTCCGTGCCACGCCGATAGGAACCACTTTCCACGTGTTGCGTTCCTCCAGTGCCTTCAGCTCCTTGTCCATGGCTTCGCGCCATTTTTCCTTATGCTCCCCCCCCAGAGCCTGTTGAACCGTCGCAGACTCTTTAGGAATGGCGGTGCCGTGGACTGCGGTGACGAGTCCGAGAATTTGCAGTCCACTCTGTGAGTAGCGGGGAAGATTTGCGTCCTCGGGATAAGCTGCTTCATCTCCCGCTTCTGGATCAGGTATGAAGTTGGGTCCTACTCGTTCTGCTTCGTTGGTGTTGACTGTTGCAGGTGTTACGTAACCGTTGTCGGCGAAATAGTAGAAGGTTTCGGCGTTGACACTTTCGCGAGGGTTATCTTCGTCCATGGGAACGTCCACGGAGCAGAACGGAAGAGGTCCGGCTTCTTCTGATGCGTTGTCCACATTCTGCTCGTCCCAGTCAGCTTCGTCCGTTGCTGAGGCGAAGGCTCGGTCACCGCGAAAACCACCTGTGGGATCCTGGTCTTCTTGCAGGTTGGCAAGGTATGTCTGGAGCGTGAGTCGTTTGTAGAAAATTACATCACGTGCTGCTACTGTTTCCTTGGAATGGACGTCGAAGATTTTCCACGCGTTGTAGTTCTTTTCGATTCCCAGGTGTAGTCCCCACTGTGCTCGTTGAGAAAATCGGCCCGCTCGTGCTGCTGGGGGTCGGTACTGTGCCATGCATCCGAATACTCGTAACATTTTTGTGCTGCCCTGTTTCCCTGTCCATAGCAGATGCGGTGATGCGTTGTTTGGAAGCGATGAAGACGAGAGCAAGTTGTGCAGCATGACGGCGTGGTCCATTGCCGCAGGCCACTGGTGGTTGGGTAGCCGCATGCCACGTAACAGTTTGCGCATGCTGTTCTGCAAGGTCCTGTTCATTCTTTCTGCTACACCTTGCTGCTGATGGGCGTAGGGAAGGGAGATGAGCCGCTTGATTCCCCTTTCCGCCAGGTACTGCTTGAATCGCTGAGAGGTGTATTCTCCTCCTCCGTCTGACTGGAAGCTTTTCAGTTTCACGCCCGATTCTCTCTCTGCTACTGGTAGCCAGGCAACGAAGGCTGCGAATGCCATGTCGCGGCTAGGGAGGTTTAGGTGCCAGACGTAACGGGTGGCGGCGTCGATGAAGGTGATTGTATAGTTGTATATTACTTGTCCTGGTTCCCGATTGTACAGGATTTCGCCATACACCTTCTCGAGTGGTGCGTACGCGGGTGCGCTCGGGTTGTGATGAGACACAAACGGTCGATGTGGTAAGTCACCTTCAGGGCAGGTGAAGCACGTTCCGCGTACTCGTTGAAGTTCTCGTCCGTCGGTCAGTAGGAGTGAGTCCTTGTCGAGTACTCCTGCTCTTATCGTATTGTTTAATACTGTGTTGCTTGGGTGTCCCATCCTTGCGTGCCAGGTGCTTTCGTCGGCGCGATGTCCGGGTGATCGTCGGTACATATCGGAGTTGGAGTAGAAGTTGGCGGTGAAGTTGGCGCTACGATGAACTTCTTGTGGTGCTGGGTGTAGTTGTTGCGCGGGTGTCGGTGGTGTGTCGTCGATGAGGAGCGGTGTCGTTGAAGGACCAGCAATTGGTGTTGACGTTCCTGCTGCTGCCGTTGATGGTTCTGCTACTGCCGATGTTGTCTCTGCTGCTGTCGATGTTGTCTCTGCTGCTGCCGATGTTGTCTCTGCTGCTGCTGATGTTGTCTGAATTGTTGCTAACGCCCTTGTTCTTTCTGCTTCAGGGATGGTGTGTGAATACCAGAAGCCTTCTGGACTGAAGTCTGGATCAAGGTCTGGAGGGTGTGTCCAGTTGGTGAAGTTAACGATGGCGTCGCTGTCGGCGGTGCCAAGATCAGGAACGAAATCAAGAACGAAGACGTTGTTCTTGAGGACCGCCTTGCCGATGTAAAGTCCTCCTCTCCCATGATACAGCTTGAATTCTTGGGTGGTGCTGTCTGCTTCGAGGTGAATCCCTTTCGCCATTAGCTGACTGACGCTCAGTAAGTTGTAGCCGAGTCCCTCCGCGATTAGTACTTTTGACATCTGCAGTATAACGTTTGTTTCCCTTGACTGAAGTTGAACTACGCCTTGTCGTCGTGTTCGCAGGTTCTGATTGTTGGCGACTGTAATGACAACTTCGCGTTGAAGTTGGTGTTCTCGTTGAACGAAGCGTCCCGAGGAGCACATGTGCTGTCCGCAGCAACTGTCCAAGAACCATGTGTCTTTTCCGGATGGTTCGCTTTGGGCGATGGC